AAGGAGGAAGAGGCATCAGGAATATATTATATACTTTTAACTGAAACTGGACCTGCTTGCAGGAGTATAATGAACTCCTTAACGATGAATGCATTTCATATAAACCAGGAAATTCCCCTCTCTTCAACTCATAGTTTCTGAAGCAGTGGGCAGTGCTTCCTGTGCTACACTCATGCCTATGAATTTTGGGGCCAGGGCAGCACAGAGGCATCTCAAGGAATGTAACAGGTCTGCTTCGCAGGGTGTTTCTGTTGACATCAGCTGGAGGAGCATAAGTATCATCCACTCTAAGGTTTCTTTTAAAGACTTTTCTCACTGTGTATCTTGGTCAGAATGACTATAAAAGGGGAGGTCTTTTAGGGTCATTTGGGTCTGGGTAGTGTTCGGGAGCTGACCTCTGCCTTCCAGCTGTCTGGATTTCCATTTCCATTTCTGAATAACTTGTTCCTTATTTTGCCATGCTGCTTCTGAAGTGTGTGCTCCGCTCCTGGCATCAGAATTGGATTTCCTGATTGTGCCGAAATAACTTTGTAGTGGTGTGTATTATTTCTTTTCCATTTAAGATGGGGTCCTGGGAATATTAATTCCATACATTTATAAGGCTCCCTGACTTCTTTTTGACCATTTAGTAACACCTAAGACTCAAAACTTAGGTTAGAGGTGAACAGACAATATGGGGTAGGCAGATGATGACTGATGATGACTAGGCAAAACACTGATTGGTGTAACATAAAATAAATGAAAAGTGCAGGGAATAGAAGGGAAAGGTAAATAAGTAAGTGGTAGTATGTGGAGGGTAAATGATCTCTGGGAACACCATGGGGAGACTTCTTGTGTTTCACTGGAATAATTCAATGCAGCAAAATTTCACATGCTGGCCCTTTATCAGTATTCTACTTAAGACAAAAGCATTCATTTTACTGGAAAGAGCACTGACTGACCCAAGTAGAACTCTTTACATGAGCAAGATTTATCCACCAATCTTCTTCTTTCTTTGAATAGTAATATTATACAATATTAACCCTGAGTAAATGTCAGCTGATGATACTTTTGTGGCTCCTTTAGGTAAATTTTTCATGATGTATTCTAGATGTTCCTTTTCTTGGAGCCTTCAGATGGTTTTTTATTTTGCTTTGTTGCTGCTGCTGAGTTCTCTTTTTTTAAGCTGTGTTCAAAGAAAACAGTAATTAATTAAGAAAATTACCTATACAAGCAGACTTTGATGGCAGTGCAAACAGTGACATTCACAGGAAGAAACACTTTGCAAGTTGACAGACTATTTCAGTAAAGCTCCTGTAGCATCTCTGTGAGGGAAATTATAGGGTTCATTTTTTTCCTGTGTTTGCAGTGCTGAAGCATGTGGACTACCTAATTTGAACCTTTAGATAATTAAGAATAGCCTTATATCATTAATGATTATATGCATGTTTAACTGCTACTTTCTCTTTTGAAACTATTGGCCATCTTTAATTAATACAGGTACAGCAGGGAACACTTTGCTGACATTTGACTAATCCACACAGAGCTGCAGTGAGATTCCAGGTAAACTATATCTTCCAAGGCTATAGAGTTTGTCTGAGGACATAGCAGCACTTGCTAACAAGTGGTGCCCCAGTTTTGATCTTCAGCATCTATATCATAGGGGTTTGGGAGGCAGGATTGCTCTTCTCTTTATTAATAGACCCTGGAAATTACTATTAAAGTAAATGCTTTTCTTCTGTGAATTAGCAGCAATTAAGTGCAGATTTTTGGGAATGGTAACCAGGTGACTCAAAATGGTATTCTTTTAATCTGTAACTCTAACTGTTAATTGGTCCATGATCAAGTTTTTGTATTTCATCTGTATCTCAGGCACAGAGTTATTTTTAAGGAATGTATTGTAAAAATAGAAGCATGAGTTTATTTGACAAATGTTTGGTCTCTATCTATTGCTTCACTATGACAAGTTTAAGAAGTTGAGAGAGAAATGTTCAAGTAACTCTGCTAGTCTTCCTTATAAAACTTTGCTTTAAACTTCCTTAATTGTGATCAGTCTCTTGGGTTTTCTGCCTCTTTCCCTTTGTTGAAGACTAACAGAAAAATCCAGACTTCTATTCCTCCCATTTTTTCTCAAAGGTATAACTGAAATTAAGTACACTTAGCTCAGGTGAAACTAGTGGAATTACTGCCACAACTCTTGTTAATGAGTTGTGTCTGTGTTGTGTACTTCATTCCACAGACCCACCTTCCTCAGTAATTCTATGCTATGCAATACATCATTGGTGTTTTACACTACCAGTTTCCTATTAACATCCAATTTAAGAGCAATCCACACTTGGAGAACTTATCCTTTCCTTTATGACATAATTATGCATAAAGCACTTAGTGCAGAAGAGAACTTATTTCTTTTTCACCTGGAGCTGAGAGTGCTACACTGTTGCTTGCAGGGCTTTATGCTTAAAAAGCAAATCCAAAGTACGCTAAGGCATTTTTCAAAATTTATTGTCTTTAAATTAAAAATAAGCAACCAATGTTTAATTTAACATTATATTTTTGATTAAATTAATTGTTGTCTTTGTCTTCTAGATTTATGTCCCTAGTAAGCATGACTAAGCCAAATTCTATTAGCTGAACACTAGTGGCTTCAATTAATTTTATGCTTTCGTAGCTTTACCTAGCTGTATTTTAAAGCTAGACTATTTAAAGAAACATCAGGGAATTTAAAATTAAAGGCCATCCACTTTGTCCCCTTTTAAGTCTCTCATACTTTAAACATTTGACTTAAAACAAGAACATATGAGTACGAAGCCTGAAGTTACCAGCCACAAGCAAATAAAAGTTATCATGTTATCTAGTTCACTGAGCAATTGTTTCATTGCAAAGATACCTTCCACAATCTGAGCAGTGCGTATCATTAACTGATAGAGTAGTGATGGTTGTCGCTCACTACCCCTCTTGAGATAAGAAAAACTGTGCTCTTACTACCCCTCCAGCTTTCCTTCCCTGTTAAACTTTCTCCCCCTCCCCATAGTTAAAGGAAAAGGAAAAGGAACTGAGCTGCTCTCTGTCTGTTAAACACCTTTATTGCTGCTTCTTGGCCTTTGAACTGGCAAAGGCCAGTTGTGTCCCTTCAGAGAGGATCAGTGGTTGGGGGTCAGACGGGCCTTGGTACCGGAAGGCTCACTCACAACAGCAGCTGTTCCTGCCCGCTTGTAACACACGCCTTTGAGACAAGGTCTGCAAACTCTGCCCTCCTATTACACCTCTACAAAATCAATAAACACCGAAAACCGAGTAAAACAAATTAACTTGGCATCTGGAACACAGGGCCAGTCTATACTGATATTTAGGGTTAAGCAGGAGGTCACCCTCAAGGTTCCGTGCCAGGTACTGCAGCAGTCCCCAAGGAGATTTTGGCTTTGGAGTAAAGCCATCCATACTGTGATAGGCAGACAAGGCCAGCCTGTGCAAAGATAAAGCCCTGATCTGCCATTGCTGCTCTCCTCTTTAGACACTACATAGGGTGGGAAGATGGAAGCAGTAAACTGGGATGGTTCTGCACCGATCCTGTGTGTAAGATGTGCAGCGTGAGCATGATTCAGAGAAGGATGAGAGAGGCAAGAAGCTGTTTCAAAGCTTGACCTCCTATCTAAAAATTAAATAGATTTTTACAGCCTTGAGAGGCCAGTGCCTTAGGGTAAAACTTGGAGATTTATAGTATTAGAGGAAGGCAGATAGGAGCTGCATTAAGGTTCTTAATGAAACTTAAGGTCAACATAGTCCAACGCTGATCCTTCCGTACAAGTGTCAAACCTCATATCAGCTCCTTCTTTCCATGTTGTCTGGTTTTGGCTGCATAACCAGACATATGAAAGATATAGCTGGCTGTGGTTCTTCTGGATCAAAGTAACAATGAAATACAAGGGTAGATTTTTCTCAAAAAAAACAAAACAAAACAAAAAACAAACAAACAAAAAAAACCCCAAAAAACCACAAACAAAAAAACAAAAAAACAAAAACAAACAAACCTCTGATTATTGTGTTCCTCTAAACCAGTTCAGTGAAAACTAATGGTGTGCAAATTCCACAGAAAGTATTTAAGCACTTAGAAGAATAATCAATAAATGACAGTTAAGCAGAGTTTTGGTGGAGGTTTTTATCCATATGGTTTGAATGATCACATCCACATTCATAAATGTAATAATTGTGTGCTCATGATAATAAAGTTCAATAGATTTTGATTGCTGTAACTGCCCTTCCACTATTCGAGAATGTTAGATTGTTCCCTTCTGTTAAATTCTCTTCACTAATTTTGTCCTGGACTAATGTTGTAAGGTACTTAACTTTGTTAATTAAAGATACAAGCCAAGCATGATGCTGAAGGATGATGCTGCCAATGACATTCTCTATTCTAAAGAATCAGACCAAGGTTTTTAACCAACTGCACCCTAAGTTCTGTGGCCAATTACTAGGTACTGAGCTGAAACAGAGTGGAAAACATAGACCTTGCCTGTGTATCTGGACAGTAGCCATGCATGAAAAGCCATGTTCAGAAGAGATGTTTCTTGTTATAATCAAAACTGTTGTCTAAGCAGGGTAGGCTATATTTTGCCCTGTCTATTATTTCTTTGTAATCCTCTTGAATTATGTGTCACTCAGCTCCAAAAATAATTTTCCTCGTCTGTGTTGATGCTTTTGCCTCCAAATTGCTGCACTGGCTTCTTTTGAATAAGTCCTACTTGATAGTAGACTAACTGCCAGGTTCAATCCCTTATCCCTCTCTGTGAAGGCCTGGAACATCTTGATCTGTTTTCACCTTGAACCTTTTTCATCCTTTATTCCTTTGCTATGTATGCCTCATACCTGGAAGAGGTTTGCTGTCTTGTTGCACCGGTCTCTTGACATACATCTCATTTAATCTCCTCAAGATTCAGTTCTGCCAACTGCCCCAAAGCAGACCCAGGCATAATATTCTATTCAAGCTACTGACAGTAATGTGATCTCATTTCATGTTTTCACAGACTCAGGCACAATTAGGTTTCAATCTTGACTGGCACTTTTGGACACCACAGAACACAGAACACAAAGTAAGTGAGAGGATGGATATTTCTCCTTTCTTTCCTTAATAACTCTTGCACTTCTGTCACAGCAGGATCATAAGCTAATGAGAAACACTAGATTACAAAGTACATAATTGATTTTTTTCCTACAGAAAAGGGATGCTGCTTTTATGAAATCTCTATAAATTACCTTTAAATCCTAGTATTTTTATTGTATAAGAGAGCTATGAATGGCCCAGCACACTGCCTATGCATGCAGCATTATACAACACAAAATATTTCTGACCTTATTAGCCACTCCATATGGCTAAAAATGAATGTTGCATCACAGGATGTTATTTGAGAATAAATTGAAAACGCTTTACCCCGCACTGTAGCATATTCCAATGGTTTCTTCCCAGAGCAAATTTTTTGGCAAACATGACTTAATGTTGATACAAAATGTAATAGATCCTTTTGCAAAATTGAGCCTTAACAGCCCTTTTGTGGGGGGGAGGAGGGAGGGGTTGGGTTTATTTGGTTTTTGGGGTCTTTGTGTGTGCGTTCAGTTTGGGGTTTTTCCTTTGAGGGAGGGGTTGGTGGCGCATGAGTTGGATTTTTTGGCTAAACCCTTCCTATTTTCCTCCTTCGGCCTTTCTGAAGTTCTCATAATTCCTTGTCTTTAACTGATTTTCGGGGTTTTTTAAGTTCCATACCCTTACCATTACTGGCTTCTGGGATGATTGCTCTTCTTGTAAATACAAGCCACCTGTTGTCTATAGACTGAAGTATTTACAAGGGAGACTACAGAACCCTTAGGAGAGTTGAGTTCTATAATACAACAAAAGCTATGTGATAGGAGTAACTGCCATGCATCTTTCAGTGAGTCAGCTGTTCTCTGTTCATTAATGTATCTCTGTTGGTAACTTCTGAAACACTGGAACCCTCCAAGGCACTTCAAACAGCTCACAAATCAACCTTCCAGTTTTTAATGGTTCCTCCTTCTCCCTACAAATGAGAAACTCCCCCTAACTTTTCTCTGAAATTTTTCTAAAATTGCATTTGCATGCAGGCTGGTATGAGATTGTTTTCAGTGTAAGGTAAACTGAAGTTCTTCTGTGGATCTCTGTTGGGGAAACTTAAATTTAAACTGCAATTTAAATCTGCTGGAAGAATTGGCTTTCAGAAAGGAGGAAGTGCTTTGAAAACAGTATGTGCATATCACATAGACAAATAGCTGCACACTGGCATGTGTAGTGAGCTCTGTAACCACTCTTGGGCTGCCAAATCAGGATTTCATGATGCTCTGAAAGATAATGCATGGAAGTCAGGAGTTGTTATGGGGTTTTTGGTTGACTTTTTTTGAATTTTTTTTTGGGGGGGAGGGGAAGTTGTTTGTTTATTTCTTATGGCAGGACATATAGCAGTTAACAAAGGGATTTAATAAGAAGTTTTAATATATCCTCCAAATAATGATCTCAGCTGAGATGGAGTTAGTGCTGCTTAAGGAAATTGCTGGTTATCATCAATATGTGAAGAAACAGAAGCTGTTAGAAATACATTATCTCCTAAGAGCAAAAAAACCAAACACACCCATTACGATCATCAGAACACCATTCTGATGTTCCAGTTTATGGGAGTTAGAAATTATGTCCTTGTGACACAGCAGAAAAAGAAAGAAGAGTGCCATTTTGGAAGGGATGTAGGTAGGGACAAAACCCCTCATTGGCTCTATGAGCACATGTCCACAGATACTGATGGGGCTTAGAGCTGCTGTTTACAGAAACATTCTGTTTTAACCCTGATTTCAGGTACCTGACAGATGTCTAGACTTCTATTCAAACCATGGGTAATGCCTAAAAAAAGGAGCCTGCCAAAGTACGAGACTATTTTAATCAACTACCAGCATGCCTGATGTCAGGGGGCAATTTAAGCAACAGCAATATAATTACCCACAATATCTAAATCAGGCTACAGGTTGTTGGGTTTTGAGGACGTCAGTTTGGTTTTGTTTTTTTCTTGGGGTGGTGTGGGTTATATCTCTCCCAAAGCTTCCATTTATTTACTAAAATCTATCCTGGAGATATAGAGATAGTACCAAATAATAGAGTTTACTTCTATAAAAAGAAGAGCACAATAACCCATTTCTATAGCATTCTGTGATTTGTGTGTGTCGTGCCTGTACTCTATTGCAAATTATGCACTCTATTGCAAACTTTCAGGAATTAACCACTATAGTATTCAGGCTGTATTTGTTTTGTCACACAGACATATTCCATATTCCTTTGTACAATACCAATGAAAATTGGTTGTCTCGTTTAATGAAAAATAATGGCTTATTTTTTTTTTCACTATTCCAGTTTGCTTCTGGAATAATCCAGCTGTAGAAGAGAAGTACATCATGCTTGTGTTGACCAATATTTTCTTCCTTGATCTGTTTCATTGTATTCTATCCTTTCTCCTTTTGATTTGTATAAACACCTGTTTTGTTGAGCTCCTACAGCCTCCAAGGATCTTAGCATTTGATATGGTTAATTATAACATTATTGGATAAATTGGCCTCCTAGGTTTTGGTGGTACAACTCTGAAATGGATCACTACATATGCAAATCTAATATGCTGAAGAGAAAATAGTTATGTAAGAGACTTTTCCATTGATATTCTTTTAAAATAGCAGAACTGGTGAAACTACTTTATGTAATTCTGTCCAGTACTTCTGCATTTGTATAGTTTTTAATCTTAATTTTTTGCTGTGATATGCATCTGTTTGTTAGTTGCACAAATGCCCACGAGCTGGTGATTCTACAAAGAGAGAAGGGGGGAAGATGGAAATGCCCATTAAAACACATCAAGTAATTCCCTGCTTATTTCTTCTATTCTAAAAATGCAGTTATTTTGGAACTGTGGCTGTTGCTCAAAAATGCCGAAGCGGAAAGATCTGGAGACTGAAACTCTCCCTCAATGAAATCAGTAAGGTCGTTGTCAGCAGTGCTCGTCTCGCTCGTGTTGTTCTGCTAATACACCTTAATCTGTCCTGGGGGACCTGAGCTAATCACAGCTGTTCTGTCGAGGCTGTTAGCATGGATTTGGGCGGCTGCTGCTGCTGCTCTCCTGGTTTCCTGGTTTGGACACTTGTCTTGCTGTAATAAAGTTGTTAGAAAGACAATACTCATTAAGTTTTTTCATAAACACTTCCCCTTCTAGATCTAGAGATACCACCGTGAAGCTAATCCATATTTTGATCCATATTGCAAGGTGCTTGTGGCAGGATTCAGAGGTTTGATGGCTTCTCTATTTTATGCTAAGTCATTCCAGGCCTCAACCTGTTGAGAACATGCAGAATCTTTATTTGCTTTCCTGCTGATTTGCTCTCATCGTGAAGGGGGAGGATTTAGATCTAGGAGTAGTTGGTCTAAGGATTGTTCACGTAATTTTATGGCAACTTAAGAAGAAGTGTGTTCCTGTCTGGTGAGGTGAGTGTGTGTTCCACAGCTCTGCACCCTTTGGATGGAACCAAGCACCTACAAAGTGCAAGGAAAAATCTGGTGTCATACACATAAGCAACAACTTCAGTAATGAATGCTGTACCAAGTCTCACATTTCACCCTAATTTTAAAATATTGGCATTTCGAACATTTAGCTTTGTGTCGTTCATCACCAACTTAAAACAAGTATTTTCGTGTAAATAATGCACCTTAGATTTTTTGAATTATTTTATAATGCACCTTATGTTAACAATTTTGCCGCATGATAAGAGAGGAATTAGTAGAATTTAGTTTATGTACATCAGAAAATATTTGAATTCTTCATATTATCTTAGCTAAGGACCAGGTCCTTTTATTTTAGTGCTAGAAATTGATTCTTGAAATATATGAGACCCTCAACTCCCGAGATTATACGATGGGTGATGTTTCTTCTGCACTGTCGCTCTTACAAAGAGGTGATAAAACTCAAACAGAATTAGCTGCTCCATGGCTTCCCACACAATGAAGGGGTGTGTGGAGGGGGAAAGGGGTGGATTTGCTGTGGACTCACCATGTCGGTTCAATTCTTGATGGCTAGATGGGAGCATGGAAGGAAAGTGAGAAATTGCAAGGTGGTTCTGAAATCTCAAGGATTTATTTCTACTGGAATAAGTCCTTAAAACTGTGGACAAAAGATTCTTCAAGCCTCCTAGTTCCAACACATGTAGCTAAAAAGATAGATAGATTAAAGCTGGTTTTTAATTAATCTGCAAAGGCAAATTTGTAAATATAATATCACCTTTAGATGATTTGTAAATTCTCAGATTTGTAACAGGCTTTGGACACAGAAGAAAAAAAGTAGAAATTGTTCATAAAAAATATTTATTTGTGATTTCAATGGTCTTGAAAATACATTACTCAGCTTGCAAACAGTAAGGAAGGTGCCATCTTTTTCAAAGAATTCCAGTCTAAATGGGAATTCAATCAGGAAATGCAATGTGGAAAAAAAAAAAAAAAAGTGAAAAAAAATCACTATTTTGAGCAGTGTCATTCTTAGGGCTAGCCAGAAAAAACTCATTATTTTCTCTTCAGGAAGAGTGGACTGTAAGTGACTTTTTGGAAGAATTTTTTTCTCTTTTCCTTTTCTAAATAATTATATTTTCTTTGTGATTTCTTCAGAGCCTGCAGATTGCATATCTAGAATTTCATTATGAATGTCTTCAAGAATTCCTTTCTACAAGAAACAATTAATTTAGAGCCAGTCAAGCTATATATGGAGTTGGCCTCTGATAATTTTTTCCCAAATTTGCTAATCCAAATTCAATGATGCACAATACATCTGACAGTTTATTATTGGCCATTCAAGTATCATGAGACCCTTCTGTGACTCTTCATGGTCAGCTTTTGGATTTGATTACTGATGAAAGAAAATCACTGCAGACAAACTTTACCACTGCAACATTCTCTCCCTTCAAAGTCTTTTCAGGATATTCCCCCCTAAAACCTTGGTTTCTTGGTAATCTCTTTGCTTTGTGAAAACTATTTGTTTATTAATTTTATTTTTTGATTAATTTTGAATGTAGT